CATTCCTGTTAGGGCGCTTAAACAATTTTAAGCACTGTGTTTAAAAATCAATTTTTTATGATAAATGGATGGAATTAACTTTGTTTGTATAAGCAAAGAACATAGTGTCGCATATTATAATGGAAGATTTGAAAATTTTTATACAAAGAGTTATACTCTCTTTTCAATTTTTCTTTCTTTTAATTTTGATGCGTACTGCAAAAACGGTTTCCCAGTTCTTCACAGAGTTGTTCTGCATTATAAATTCATTTCTGTTGGTAACACTTGACAAATTTTAGCAGTCCCTGGTGTCATAAAACAGATGGAAGCAATAAAATCATTTGGTCTTCTGCTAGCACTGCTTACACTCTTCGAATTTTCGAATCTTTTGACTAAAGGACAGAAGAATGAAAGAATGCCTATTCAAGAGAAAGCTAAAGGGGTCCCTTCTTCAGTGCTAAGACCTTCCGTTATAGCTTCAAGAGATTATTGCCCTTTCTAGAGTCTTGAACAGACAGTTGCATCATGGCTGAGGTACAAAGTGTGATCTGTTTTCTGTAATTTCATTTCAGCCTATATATACATCAAGCAGATAACAACAAAAAAGGTATGTACATCGAATTTTACTATATATTTTTAACACATTAATCTGCAGAATCTGCAATAAAATTACTGGCTCGTGGATGAGTTTAGGCATAACTCATATGTATATTCTTTTTTGCTGATTTTCACTTAGGTATCGTTTTAATTTCTCTATTATGGTTTTACTCAAGTCTTTCTGGTAATTACTAAATTTAAAAATAAATATTTAGGACTGTGCATGTGCTTCTACTAGCGGCACGTGCGCGCGCTTCCCCTAGCGGAGTTTAAATGCCCGACTGGCCAAAACGGGGGCACTTTGGCCATGACGACCTTACTCATCACTGGCCCAAACGGGGCACTTTGGACATTAAAGGTTAATATTATACTCCCATTTATGTCTTTCACTTTTGGTTTTCCAAATAGAATGTTATATGAATTTATTGCTCAATGTATGCTACATGTCCTGCCCATCTCATCTTCTTTTCTGGTCACCTTAATAATATATAGTGAAGAGCACAAATTATTAAGCTGTCTGTCAGGCACTTTTCTCCATCCTCCTTTTACCTTCCCCGTTTTTGGTCCAAACATTCTCCCACCTCCATTCCATCACAGTTTTTCACCAATGGTGAAAGACAGATATAAAAGAAAATGTAAAATTATAGTTTTGTCTATGACAAAATGTATTTGGGTATTTTTGAACTTAACGTAACAGTTGGTGTCCATTTATTTCAGGTATCAATGCTCTATGAAGTTTACCTGACATGCTGTTCCACATCAAAAGAATTGAAAAAATGGTCATGCAAGGACATGTACACTTTTTAAATGCAGAACTAATGGACAGACAGCTCATAAGAACCATATACTTAAAGAAGCTACTCTCCTGCCTCAAAGAGGTCGGAAATTAAACAAGCTATAGGATATTTACATCTGATATCACTGCATTTAAAATAAATGCTAGGGAAGGACCATCCTCGACCACCTTGCCTTGACTACACCCGTGTCTATGGATGGTTTTATGTCCTTAATCTGTAACTGGCATCACAATCATACTTCAGGAGATATGTGACATTATGCTTTAAAATGCAGTACCTTCCTTGGAAAGGTATTCAGTAATGAATATGTTAAACTTAACAGATAATTAACATTTAACACATACACACAAAAACTTCCATTTTTTTTTACATGCATACATGACTTGTTTTAAACTGTGGAACACCTTTTAACACACACAGTAATGACATGTAAGAGGCAAATTTATTTTTGAAGTCTGAAATTTTAAAATTGAAAAAGCAGAAGTACCACTTCTTACTTTTCATGACTGTCTGAAACAATGTATCAGAACTCCACAATACTCATATATGCAGTGTACAAAACACTAAAAAGAAAAGAATTAATGTGAACCTGCTAGCCTCTGTAGTCACAGCATTAAATAAATAATTCTTTGACAGATGTACAACATGTAACCCACATTTCTGCAATTGTCAAGTTTGTTATCCTTCATACAGAGCACCTTGACTCCAGTGGTAACTATTTTGACCTGTATTCAGGAGGTGCCTGGTTCAAATTTTGACTGGAACATTGACTATCCTATTTCATAGTTTTCATTAGTTAATCCAGGGAAATTCCAGGATAGTACCTCAAACTAGACAACAACCACTTATCCTTTCAAATTTATTATCCATCATCATGCTACCATTTGACACTACAGTGAAACCCACATTTAATATTATTCAATTTATGGTTTTCCCTCATTCAATATCCTGTCTCAGTGAGCCCACATAAATACTTTCAGTTTTAAATGTCCTCTGTTTAAGATTTCTTACAGTTTAGTGTTCAAATCCACTGGTCACATATGAGACCTTAAATGTGGTCTCACTGTACATAGTCTGACAGTACCATTTAGTAAACCATAAATAAATAAATAAATGTCTTCCTTCATTTCTCTCGTTCATGCCAACGAAAACTGTGAGCTTGGAAACAAAAACTTAGAACACTCTGAAAGTAGACACCAACCATAATTTTTGTGATGTTGGAGAAAGGCTACAAATGTTTCATAAGAGAAAATGTCATCACCGAGATGGTTAAAATATGAATGATGCTAAATGTGGGAACAATGACAAAAAAAGAAAAACTAGATATTAGCATTCACAATCTTAATGCATTTGTAAGCATTGAAAACAGCAAAAACATTTAACATTCTGCTTATTACAGTACAGCTTTTATACATTTATTTAACAATACTCATAAAATTTTTTTTATCTGAGGCAGTATTCATAATATGAATTTCCAATGTACTTTATGTAGTAAAGATCTGTGGAAAGTCTCTATGAAATATTTTACATCAGTTAATGCTTGAAAGGAGTCCAACATTTAACATGTGCTCCAAATTTATAAACAAACTAAATTATATTACAGTCAGAGCAATATGCTTATTACAACAGGTCCAAATCCTCCTCCCCCCCACATAAGTTATCTGGAATGAAATATTTTCCAAGATATTTTGGGTTACTGGAAGAAAAATCAGATTTTGATCTTCTAGGTTGTGACACTGCATAGCTTTGAAGGTGGATTCCTATGCTACAGAGGAATGTGCCCCCTCCATTCAGCCAGGAGGAAAGAAGCAGTCTTCATATTGGCTTAGACAGGGCCCTTCTTCCTCCCACAATTCTGAGCAACCATATTCCTCCACTCCTTGCCTATCCAACATGGCGACAACTTTATCATAATCACTTCAACCCTGAAGAAGGATGCCACACATTCCTCTATAACTCTGGTATCCACCTACAAGACTACACTGTATCACAATCCAGAAAATCATAATCTGAATTCTCACTGTTTTGAAAACCTAAAAACTTAAAACAGAAGGGAAATATTTGACGAATGAGGTCAAATGTTTGTGACATGCACAGACCATCCCAAGGACATGAACAATACATTTGCTGTTTTGTTGTTACACTTACCATGGATGGGTCCACCCTGACGCAGCTAACTCACAGAAATGTTTTGTAATTAAATTAATTTCTATTGTATCTGTTATCATTTGCCCCATCACAATGACAGCCATTGTTGCCTATCACAGTTAAATAATTAAGCAGGCAGTGAAGATGGACTAAAAGACCAAAAAATATTCACAAGGAAATAAATAATTGTGATATGCGCCCACAGATGCCACTATGATAGAACAAATGATATCAGGAATTATGTATGAATACCTGGGAGGCAGTCAGAGCACACACACACACACACACACAAAATCATTTACTCTAAGATAGTTGTAGGGAAATCATCAGAACTGAAAATCAGTATTTACATTATACCATGAAAGTAACAGATAAGAGGTAGTAAAGGAACTCTGCTTGTGAGCTGCTACCCTCTAACCTACAGGCTAGTTCATAAATGTAGACATGATGCAAGTGGACCCATCATGGATCCTTAGTGACGTTCTTGTGCACCAAAGGGTTAATACAGCTATTATACAATGTAATAAAATCCACATTTATGATATGATACATCATTCTGTATGTGATGTTAAAATACAAGTATCAGTTACACCCACTCATATATTGTTGGTGATCTAACATCACCAGAAATAAAATTATTAACATATTCATTGACATGGCCTCATGCTAGGATTTTACCTGCTGGGACAGCCATTTTAGCACAGAAACTGGATTAGAGTTGAAATAGATATGGAAGAGAGCAAGTGAAAAAAAAACTGTGCGTTCTGACACTTTCAAATTTTCAACAAGCTACACTTTAAAGTTTCTAGATGAGTGACATCTGTAGGAGAAAGAAATATTTATAAACACAGTGACAACAGCCAATCACTTGACAGAAGCAGCACCAGTACGTGATTCACTTCAGTCCACCAAGTGACAGGATTGGTGATAAATCTGTTAATAGTATGTCACAATTGGAATTTTCCTTCATGTAAAAAATCATTCTAGATGTGTATGCTCCATTCTTTTACAGGGAAGTCACAGTCATTCACATACTGTATGGCCCACACAACTTGCAACTACCAAACCTGTGCCTGCTTCTTGCAGTATCACAGGTGGATGGATCCCTGTTCAACTTGTGGTTACAGCATACTATGACCTCATGGAGATTTCATGCTGCTATCCACTCAGATAAAAAACCATTATACAAATGCCTGTGGCAGAAAATTTGTATCTGTCAATAAGAATAGCTGCTGAAATGTCTTTCTCTTTTATGGAACTGCAGTGATCTGCAATAGTAAACATATGAGTAATATATGGTGCTATTTTGCATTATGGTATAACTATTCTCAAACACTTATGCCACATACAAAGCTAACTGATTTCAAAAGAATATTCGTGTACATTTAAACATGGCTGTTGTTAAGTCTAGACATTTGTGACAAAGGTGTGTTTTTAAACTGGTAGATACATTGGACATTATCCACTGTTTCGTTTTGTTTAAAGACAAACAGCATTTTGGACACCAGCTCTGTTTCCACCACCAGACAAAAATATGAAACACACTGCTGAATCCACTACATAGGAATAGATATGTTGAGTCTCACAATAAATAGCAGTTATTACTGTCTACAATGCTAACTGCCTAGTCTTTGTAATAAATGCATCGTGTATTTCCTGAAAGGTATTAAATGGATTTTTAAATGTTATTTAAACTCTTATATTTGCATCTAATAGGTCAAACAAAGCAGGCTTCATACTTTCACCTGGTAACAAAGAAAAACCGGCATCTGAAACACTGTGTTTCTTTAACCAAAAGATGGTGATGATAATGATGATGGAAATCATCACATATATATGTCAGTTTAATTGTTGTCATTATCTGTCTAGTGCCTCTAGAGATTGTTAAAATTGACTCTACAGGCCTCTGTCCACATATACAGGGTTGCAGAGTCCATTTCTGAGGTGTCGGCACCCACAGGACAGGGCTATAGTGATCATGTGAATGATGGCCAGCATAAGAGACCTACAGTTCAGCATGAGCTCCAAATGTGGGGGGGGGGCTATTGTTCTTCCCATTACCAAAGTATTGACTGTGATAAAGGCGAAGGCATCAATGTAAAAGCAGATGAGAGTGCACACAGATTTGACTGGGGATTATACTCAAAACCTTTTGAATGAAATTGTAAGCCCTCACCCCAAGACAGTCAGTCTCCTATTCAAACACTGATAGTCCATGAAAGTGGCATCTTTTTAGTTAATATTCACAAGATTAACTTTATTCATTTATATGGGACTAATGATCAAAAAGTTGTGATTCATTACCAATGCTGCTTAGCACCAGAGTGTGTATCAACTATATGCAAACTCAGATAGGCAGGTAAACAAGAGAACATGTTATACCATATCTACAGCTATATGTAGTATAGCACAGTTTTGCATCCATTCAAAAGATCAACTACAGAAGGTGTTTTTGTGAATTAACAATATCAGAGACAACTTCCATGTGTTCAAAAAATACAATAAGAGAAAAAGGCAAATAAAAGTGTACACCTCCCTATTTCAGCAACTAGCATTCACCTGCTCATTCAGTTTTCTTCAGAATATGAAATTTTTGGTCCTCTGCACGATCCTCACTCGTTTCCGAACAAATATCACCACACCTCACATAAATTATCAACTTGTGAGATCTTGATTTTCCTTCTGCATTTCAATCTCTAAACTACGTAGTCAGTGACAAAAATTCAACACAGATCAAAAGCCCAATGACAAGCTCCTCTCCCCTTCACTTTTAGAGCGGCTTGGGATCTCAAGTTTTAATTTGGAAACTCACCATCAGCCGCAAATATGAACAACTTCCACTCTGCAGCTTCAATGTCATGTTTCCAAAGAGACCGGCAGTGTTTTTATTGATCATATCCAGTGTCTGTCATGATTAATCCCAATGCAATTCACTGGCTCCGGTGTCCAAAGTACATCAAGAAGAGAGAGAACCAAACCAAGAAGAGAAGTCTAGTGTTCAATAAAAATGCAATTTTGAAATTCATTTAACATTTTAAGTAGGAAAAATACTTTTAGAAATGTGAACCCTAACCTTCAATTTTGAAATTCATTTAACATTTTAAGTAGGAAAAATACTTTTAGAAATGTGAACCCTAACCTTCAGATAATATTTCCGTTAAAAGCCGCTTTAAGCTGTCAAGTCCAGTGAGAAATCCACAGTCTGGACCATGGTGGACAGTAACATTGCTTGCATTGCTGCCACTTGCCCTGTTGCTGAATGTAACATTGGCAAAGTCAATCATGCGGATATCAACTTGAGTGGAGCCAGAGCCCCTTGGCAAGTCTCTCTGTCTCATTCTATGTTTTTTTGCAGCTTGCAGAGCAGCCTTGTTCTTAGCCCGTAGCTCAAGTGTACTTTTTTTCACTCGTTTGCTGGACAAGGAAAGCTCTGGATCTTCTTCATCTTCATCATCATAATCATCTTCTTCCTCTCCTTCTTCATCACACTGAGAATGCTGACGAATTCTCTTTGCTGTCACATTATAAAAGTCTGAAGAAGCTTCCTCAGAACTCTCAGTAAGTTGCAGAAAGGAACAGTCACTATTGTACAACATCCAGCTCTCACCAGCAGCATGTGAGGATGATGGTGGATCCATGAACATCGTGTCCTCTGATATAGGGTAAAATCTTGATGCAGCTTTTGCCCCCCTTGCTGCTGCTTCACCAAACCCACGCTGATGCGATGCCTGGTTTACCTCTTCTTGGGATGATGACAAAGGTGGGAAGTCAGATGAGTTACTGGCATCCATATCGTAGTAAGGGAAGCCTAGGCTTCCACGAGAACATTCCTCTGATTCTCTTGTTCCTTCATCACTGATACCAACCTCTTGTGTTAAACTGTTCAAGTCCTGGTGACAGAAGCAAGTGCTGAGAGCAGAGGGTGATGTCCCACGATGTTGTGATGTGGAGAAGTCATCCACATCCCACTCATACCCCTCATACACAATAAGGAGTGAACTGAATAAAAAAAATACAGTAATTATTATTAATGTTAAACAAATTCTGATTACAGTATATGAAAAGTGACAGGTAAGTAATATGAGAAGTTCTACAATTTTAGAACAGATACTAAAATCTGAGAGAAATGTTTTATGGTAACTCCTCCTTCGCATACTCACTCTACTAGGAAGAGCACTCCTCAGAGAAGCATCTGTCATTAAACAACCCAAATATCACAATGTACTACATGCATTTTATGTGGTGTTTACATCTTTCCACAAAGTTTGGTTTCACTACTAAATATGTTAAAATCTGCAGCAGATAAAAATTAATTGAAATGAAGTAAATAAAGAATAAAATAAAAATGCAACATCAAAAGAGTCTGATAATTTTTAAAATTTGTCTACCAACGTCCATTCATTTAATCCTTCAAAGCTTAATGTGTACCCTATGTTTCAACATTACAAATTTCTGAATTTTAGAAATACTGCATCATAGATTCATATTGTGTTGATATACTACACCACTTTAATATCCATCAACTACACTTGGGACATCTTGATAAATAAGAGATATCATAGCCATTATTTCACATTTTAACATTTCAATATTTTAACAATACAACTAAGACAAGCACATGGGCATTGCACGTGACTGAAATGACACAAAATATGACAGAATGTAAACATTGACCAATCTCAGGAAAAGAGCAGATATGAATGAATGTATAAGGGGTGGGACTTCTTGGCCCTTGCACAGCAACCACAGTGATCTATTGTGCCTCAAAAGAGCAGATAAATGACAGATGCATGTATAACCCCTGATGACAGTGGAACGGCCAAAACATGTCGTCAATCTGTAACGTACCATATAGCTATACATAGATTGTGTTGACAGAACCAAATAATAGTTTTTTTAATTTTGCCCACAGAGTGTATTTATGGATTTCATATGATTGTCAAAATAAACATCATTTACTAATATGTCTTTGTAACGATGTAGAATGTTTCCTGTACCACAAGAACTATTATTTTTATTTATATAGATTATTGGGATTAATTTTAGACCTCAAAGGGTTAATTTCATTCTTTTCCTAGCCCCAGAAGAAATGTCAACATTGAGCTAAGTTTGAAACATTACTATTCACTAATCACAGGCTGTCAAATGCTCTACATCTAGCAACAACAAAAAATGCTCACTGAATAAAAATGACACTCTTTAGCCATACTGATGTATGACATATACTACCACTGCTCTCTCTTCTTCTTAAGACAGTAACTAACTTCCTGTAGTAAAATTCTTCTTGAGAATTTTGATAGGATTAACTTTCCAAGTATACTATCTATATTAAATTAATATGCAAGTTGCTGTCTAAGTAAATCTTGTTTATTGCTTAAGTTCACTTTGTTTTAGCAACACATAGTCATTATTAGCAATAAATAAGATATACATAGATGATTACTTGCATTTTAATTTTATAATTCTTCTTGAGAAGCTGATAATTGACCACTTGGCAAAGAAATTTCACACCTTCTATCCAACTACCATGTTCGTAAGTTAACCAGTGCAAACATCCTCATCCAGATAAATTCAGTCCACATCATCACACTCTATGTATGTATGTATGTATGTATGTATGTATGTATGTATGTGTATATTATCACGTGTGTCCTAGTCCAAATGGTTTCCAAGATAGTTATTTCACTGCACAGTTCCAAAATTGTTGATAAGAAAGAGATATTACATACTGTTTCTAACACCAGTATGGTAGAGTTTAACTAGTATAATACATTTTCAAAAGTTCCATCATCAACTTCAATGCACCTTGCAACTCGTGTGAAGACATGGTGTGTTGCTTATCTGTAATGTGTACTGTACAGTGAAATAGCTGTATCTCAGAAACTGTTCAGAATAGGTCACTTGTATACAGAATGTCCCAGGAGGAATGTGCCAAACTTCGGGAGGGTGTTCCTTATGTTAAAGTATGCCGATATAACCCAAAACACCTATGTCCAAAGTTGAACGGTTACAGAGATAATGGCCAGAGAAGTGTGAAACTTTGACTGGTCTTACACACTTGTTGATTATAAAATACATATTAAAACTGGCAGGAATATGTTGTTTCTGTAATGTTAATAATGTACGTTAACATCAAAGTAACTTGTGAGTGACATGAAGCCATAAAATTGAAGTACAAAATACTCACTCGCCATGTCATAATTGGCCTTAGGGTTTCCAAGCACTATTCATGACACATGACTGGCAAGCGCTGACGTAACATGGCTGACTACGCTATAAGCCGACCACATAACTGTATTAAACGTACATTCACGGAAAATCTCTTTTGGAATGTCGTTTCCATTATCTCATGTGGATTATTATGGGACCACATATGCACATTTCATAAATTATTTACACCCTCCAGGGTAAAAGACGCCTCATCACTCAATAAAATGATGCTTAACAGTTCGGGAAGAGCTTTTATCCAGTGGCACAAATCCATACGCTGTGCATGGTCGCCTGGTTCCAGATGTTGTACCCTTTGATCATGGTAAGGATACAACTCTTCATCATGTAAAGTTTGCCACACCTGCATACATGATACGCCGATGCAAGAGGCCATTCTACGAGTGGACAGATGCGGACTTCTCTGAACCATCTCACGAATGTTCTTATGTGTTTATCATTCGTACATCCTCACTTTCAGAGTGCACAGAAACACTCGGAAGAGAACCAGTATCACGCAATGTCTGGTGAATTCGCGTAAATACACTTCGAGATGGAATCCTTCAATCAGGAAAACGCCTTTTGTATTCTTCAACAGCAGCACGTGCATTGCCACTGCAAAATCCACACACAAAATGCATATCACAATATTCCACATGTGAAAACACAAGAGGCATTTCAGCAACTCATCACACAACTAATTTACCAAGCATTCACGACCCCGCCACAACGTACTCTGTACGCAGCACGAGCTTACGGCTAGTGTGAATCACGACATTCAAGGACAAACAGATAAGACATGCCAGCTGACAGGTACAGTGCGTGGACCCGCCAGAAGACCACACTTTTCTTGGGCCATTATCTCCGTAACAGTTCAACTTTGGACACAGCTGTTTTGGGTTATATCGGCATACTTTAACATAAGGAACACCCTCCCGAAGTTTGGCACATTCCTCCTGGGACACCCTGTATATGCATTTTTTTGCTTAAATGACTGATACTAGGTCCACCAAGAACACTGCTCTTTCCTCCTGGGACATCCTGTATACCTTCAAAGATCAATTTTAACGTTATCCTTCGACTGATGCCTACATCTTCCAAATGATATCTTCTCTTCAGTTTTTCCAACTGTAAAATCTTGAATTCATTTCTCATCTCCCCATATGTGCTCCTGACTGTCTTACAGTCTTTCATTTTAAGACTCTAATAAAATTCAATGAATACAAGTTATATAATATCCTCTAGGCTCTAGTCACATCCTCACTCTTAAATCTGAATATCCCGCTCAGCATCCTGTTCTCAGACAACCTGAATCTATGTTTTTTAACTCTTCCTTTCATTTGATTAAAATCCACCACCTAACAACTCACCAGGAATAAAACCTGTAGCTGCTCTGGCGCTCAATAGCTCTGCGAAGTTCCTCAAGACGGGTTATTACTTTGCGAATAACTTGGCTACGCAACTGGAATCCATTATGGAAGAAGTGATATAGTGCTCCCTTGAAGCCTTCTTCGTTAAGCTCACGTCCCCAGTATTTATCACGCTTCACATAATGGTCTGTATCAGCCTGATAGACCTGCAGCAAGGGACAATAAATATAAGTTTTCTGGGACATAGCAAATGTGAAGGAGTTTTAATATTCCTTCATCAATCAAAACGTGAAATGAGACAAAATAACTTTGTATTATGAGCATCATAATACTGCAAACACTTTGTTAATTAAAAACTGCTTTAAGAGACACTAAAAGAGCTGTGATAGCACAGTCAGTATAGCGACTGGCTACAGGCTGGATGAGCAAGTGGTTGAAGTTCAAGTCCCAGTAGGATCAAGAACTTTCTCTTCTCCATATCATCCAGACCGGCTCTGGGATTCACGTAACCTCCTATTTAATGAGTAGTTGGGGCTCTTTCCCGAGGGCCATAGCGGTCAGCGCGTTAAGATGACAACCCACCTCCAGCTAGTGTGGAAGTCAAGAAAAAGTAGATCTATACATCCACTTCCCATACGTCTTCATGGCATAGTGCTTAATTAGTTAAGCACAGGGGGAACTTTAGCTTTAAGAGACACTATAGAGACACAACAAACTTTTCATAGTATGGCAGTATTTATATAGAATTTTGTTTGTGTAATGTCTGTGTCCTTGATGTAAAACAAAATGGAATTTTTAACTGTAACCACAGTATTTTCAAAATAATGCCATTAATCTAAAAATTATGAACAAGTAAATGACATAAAATTATCACTTCCATCACTGATAGCTGGAGCCTACTTACTCATTATATCTTCTGTACATGTCTCATCATTGTTTTTCTCCATTATGATGTAGGCCTAAATAAATATTCATCAAAAAATCCTATGGTCCATTAGATGGTGTTAATCTACATTCTCACTGAGAGGAATTACTTCCATTTAATCAACCTAACAGAACAGGTTCCACTGTGGCATATCTGCTCAAAGCAAGAACTGTGGAATCATAGAAACAGCCAGGTTTAGAGGTGAGTCAGTTGAAAGTGCGGCTTTCAAGAGAAGTCTTTGTGTGCTGTAATTACAGTAATTCAGTGAGACAGATCCTATTACCATGTTAAAATCTGTTGCCAGGAAATGACTAGCAAAAGCAGACTAGGCTGAAAAGACTTAGCATGTGCTAGAATGATTGGTAAAGTGTGGAAATCAGCGATAGTGTTATTGTTAATTGTAGTTACGACCAATAATGGCCAATAAATCCAATATCCAATCCAAAACCTCACCAAGAGTCACTCTAACATGTGAAAATATTTCTTCCTGATGGTGGAAGCAAAGTCAGGCTCTAAATCACTGTGTTTTAACCCAGTATCTTCCAAACTGTGTACTGTGATTACCCCCCACCTCTCCAGGGGCTCACCAAGTTTCAAGAATTATTTAAAATATAGTTGTACCTATACAAAATTTCAGAAAGTCAGTGAGATTTAAAACAGATGCTCTCAGAAACATTTCACAGTTTTTCATCACTATACAGCAATACATTACAGGGATAATGTAAAGCTATTTAGATTCCTGATGTCACCACACAGCCTGACAGTATACAATACTGTATTTTTCACTGACAGCAGGCATGGCCGACGTATAAGGCTGGCAATCTTACCACCATCTTTGAGCCGATTGTCTAGATAATGTGGGACCCTCAACATCTCACAACCCTATGGGCCTTCACGGCCTGTTACAGGAATAGCTTTACTTTTTTTTACTTTTTAGGAGGGGAGGGGGGGTTGTCCCTGTGAACTGATATATTATTTAAGTGGATCACGATATTACAAAGTTTGGGAACCTCTGCTTTACACAACCTCAGATGATGAACAATATCCAGTATATTATCAGTTTAAGCTACAGGCACTTCACAGCTCAATTTCTGTTAACTGTTGACTGTTTGTTCCTCACCTGCATGCCACAGAGCCTAACTCCAAGGGAGGCTGATGTGCTGGCGGCACATTTAGCCATCTGTTTGCTCCTCTTTTCAGCTGAAGCATCATCACCATGTTGCCTTGTTCCCATTTTCAGGTCTAGGATGCAAGGCTGTGTGTAGTGTGATGTGATATTTTCTAGCATCAAGAAGTCTGGTGCATTTTGTTAAGGGAATTACTTCCAAACTAACTTCAGTATATGTCAGTCATGCCAAATGTCATATTCAGTGTTAAGAAACTGGTGAGGCAAATACATATCAAACAATAAGCAGAAGGACAGAGAAAAACAAGAATTGATAAAAATGCCACCTCCTTTTGCAAGTATTATAAATGTTCATCCCTTTATTTTATAATTTTCCATGTAAGTCTCAACATCTCATATTTGTGTTCCAAACCTTTACACATACAGAGACCTTGTTATGATCAAGAATATTATACAATCATGGTCTAAACACACAATTCAGCAGGACGAAGTACCCAGCACAATGGAAAACATGAATGTGTGATGGAACTACACATCGAACATTATAAGCACAAAACACGAGCACTGCAATCTCCACAGAAGTTTTAAAACACCTGACAATGACCAATGAAACATGTAGTGTACAATGTGGTTCTAAACAGGTTTAAAAGACTCATTATGTGTTGCATGTAATATGTTTTTCTTTCTCCTTTCTTTCATTGGTTGCATCCTGTTCTGTGTCTCAGGCAATATATATAGTATGTAGGAACTACGCTACCATCAATACAACATATATTTTAGTATTACATTTAGATCTTTATTTACTGTGACATGTTTCGGTCATACATGACCATCATCAGGCAGAAATAAGCATAGTTATTGAAATACCAATATGGATCCTTATCGGTGCAACGCGTCATGTTAAATATTAACATAAAAACTTTGCCCCAGATTAGTGTATAGTTAAAATAGCAAATACATGATTAAGAATAAAAAATAAAAGCTAGAATAAAGGTGTACTATATATAAAATGTTGAAATATTATTATAACATATTAAAGGTAAGTTAGAAGTATATAAAAGGTATGGGAATGCGGGAGAGATCAGAGAGAAAATTCTTTGTTTTGTACATCAGTGCCAAGCCCTTCCATTGCAGCTACAAGAAAATATTCCCTTTCTGTGATCACAACCAAACACCTGCATCATAGCTGTGATACAGATTGCATTCAGTTTTTTGTGAGTTCATAGTGAATTTGAATATTGTAGTTTCATTCCATCATACAGACAAAGAAACACTGTTTGGAAGATGATGAAATTGGAAGGAAACTGAGGTGCATGTGAAGTGGGACTGTGCATTCTTGGGTGCTTCATGAGTACCTTATAAAGGTGCAATTCAGTTGGATGACCTGAGGAAAGGCGAAAGTTAAGCCTATATATACATCAAGCAGATAACAAAAAAAGGTATATACATTGAATTTTACTGTATTTTAAAAATAATTATTTAGAATTGTGCATGCACTTCTAATAGCAACATTTAAATGCCCGAATGCACAAATATGTGTACTTTGGCCATGATGAATGTAAGATTTTAAATTTTCTTTTAAAATCGCTTAGTGGGGGGTGGAGTCCAACTGGGTCCGCTCGGCACAGGGGCCACTGATTGGCCTATTGTACCTGCCCCAGGTGACTATGATGATGAATTTGTTGGAATGGAGATTGGCAGAAGAAACTGAAGTACTCGGAGAAACCCCGCCCCAGAGCCACTTAGTCAATCACAAATCTCGCTTGACCAGACCCGGGATCGAACCCAGGCCGCCGCGGTGCAAAGCCAGTGATTAACCACTTGAGCTATGGCGTGGCCATGATGAATGTACCTTTCGGTGTACTGGTATGGACACTTCAAATGTAAAAGGTTAAACCTTTCACTTCTACATTTGTCCAAGCACTGATATACCTTCAGACTAGATTTATTTTAAAACGAAACTAGTGTTTCAGGTTTTACCGTTCTTTGTGTTATGCTCTCAATTTCATACCACCTTTTCAAATTCCTTGAATAGGCACAAAAATTTGAATACCCGCAGAACATGCAACTCATCCATATTCTATGTTGGTATGAAGAACAAACAGAACAAATTGGAAATGAGTATATTTAGGGTTAACTCAAGGAACACACTAAACTAAACTAAAAAAACTAAACTCTGTGGCCTGTAGTCCGCAAGCGAACTATACCGACTGAGCGACTGCCACTTGTCGGAGAAGTTAGTGCCAACTTTTGCGAATAGAGGGTGTCACGTGGTCAGCGCAATGGATCGCCACAACCATTAGTCTTGGTTTTCTAGACCGGACAATGAACACACTGGATGGACATAAACATAATCACCCTTAGTCCTTGAATGGTTAAAAAGAGAAAATTAATGTTATGCTTCTTTCACAGTGGAACGGTAATGAGTCCCACCGGACTCAAACACCAACTATTTTCAAAATCAAACCATTAACAGACTAACTACTTTAAAACCATACACAGTATTTATTATAACTGAGTTAACACAACACTACTTATGAATATCACCTGAAGTGATTTACACAGAAGGATTCAACAAAATATGAGTATTTTCAAAACAACCCATAATTTTAAAGCTATCTGTGACTCCCAACCCAGCATTCTCCAGGTGTGACTGAAGATAATTACATAGAATCCCAGCATACTAGTTATCAGTATAATTCCAAGGTTGTAAATGTTACATAATAGCAAAGGATACATTGCTTGTTAGAACTGGTGTTGTCAACATGCATGATACTCTCCAGGACATCTCGAGCATTACCTTTCCGATGGACCTTCATTCTACAGGACAAGATATTACACCATCAGTAATACTGAAGTGAATAAAGAATGACCAGCTTACTTAGTTTTGAAGGTTACTGCAATAATGAGAAACATTTTACCAACCTACAAGACATGTGAACCATACAAACCTGGGCTGACTTTGCACATATTCAGCATTACTGTAAATTTTACAAGCTGGTAATTCCAAAATAAAATATTTCTTCTTCCCCATTTAACAACACATTATTTGCATTAAAACCTTAAATATCAATATATTTTTCATTATATTTTGTAGAGAATAGTCCCATATCCCTTCTCATACAAATATTTGTATTAAATTACATATATTCAGAGTCATAGAGCATCAGAGAAAGATAAAATCTGTTTAATTGAGCCTCATTTATGAATTTGATACAGAAAAGAATGTATGACTACAAAGATCAGCATGAATGAACTGTCTTCCCATGACTCTGACTGCACAATAGCACTGGAGTATCAACAGATTGGTTCTTACTCAGTATCAGCAGCCATTATTCTTATGTACCATATTACTGGATTTAGCAGCTGATTTTTGACAAATGGTAGGGTGATGACCACAATATGAATACAACAGGAAGAAAACAGAAAAATTTATTATGTCATGCAAAAGTACTTCTGCCCTTTCCAAAATGAAAAATGATCAAGTTTTAAGTTAATGGGTGAGTGAACTACCAGCAAGCAAACAGAACGCTTACCGCAACACATTATCTCTTTTTCTCTTAGATGCCGCCAGCTTCCCTCGGCTGGGGTCATCACGGAAACTTGGGCTGAAGCGATTGTTCAACTGAACTCCACCGCTGTTGCTTGCTTGCATAACACCTGGAACAAATGTCGCCATACTGCATTTACTAAACCATGTTATTAAAAATTATTTACATGTAACAAAATAATCTCTGGCTGCCTACCAGGTCATCCTCCTTAACTTCCTGTGTGATGAAAGGAACAGAATATGTGTAAAGAACTTTGAGTTATTGAATATTTTTATATAAGTTTTGAGGTTTCCATAGCAGTGAGTGTTCACACTGTGGTCTTCTGGGTTGTGACACCTTGTAGTCTTGTATATGGATACCAACATTTTGGTTGATCATGCTGTGTCAATTTTCAGGGCCAAATTGTGTAAGGTGAAGATCCCTCTGATGGATTTGAGGGACCACCTTCCATGTCACCTCACCTTACACACTCTGACCATGAAACTGGAGGCATCAAGTTCAACCAAAATGATGGTACCCACCTGATCATAACCCAGAAGATCTCAAGTCTGTAGCTTTTTAATTAATTCCTAAGAATGGATTCCAAAGCAGTCTAAGCAATTATTCTCCATGTAATCAATAACTTTTACCTTCTACATTATATGCAGATATATTTTGCTGTGTCCAGGCTAGCTGAATGCTGCGATAAATCTGCCAACACTATGAAATCTGTGTAAGCCATATGTCTGAACATGCAGTCATAAATAAACTACAAAATATTGCCAATGTCACTTTGAAATTCTCAGTACCTAACAGACTCTGAGCAACGGATTATGTTACCCTTTTTACTTTAGAGTGAAACAACTTGGCGATGGACCCTTGAAATGCTAGTCTGAGCATCCACATTTCCAGACATGACAGCATGCCAAAAGTCAATTGTTAGTTTCAAGTATGAAGTCCACCAACAAAACTGGAAGTAAAAAAGCACAATCAACTGTACCTTACACTATCTCAGTGCCTCACAAAATGCAACAGGCAAGACAGGAATCCCCCAATAAAAGCCAGAAATTATCTCTGAAGCAAACATTAATAAAACAATTTATTATCTTAAGTAATACATATAACATTTTTCCCACATGATTTTCTAACAAAAAAATACACAAACATAATAGCACAATTATAACAATCTGCCAAAATTTCAAGGGTCAGATTTTCCAATACTGAATCTTAGTGATGTACCAATAACCTATATGAGAAATAACACATATATATGTACTTCTATATTAACACGTATTGAAATTAACTTTATGCATTATCAGTGGCATAAATTTCTGGTAGGATATTAAACTTTCATTTGTTACATACTTACATATTCATGTTGAAGTAAAGATGTCCCAAAAGTACATCTATAAAGAATACTTATAACTGAATTTAGTTGTAGAACTCAAATTATTTCTGTATATTCTAGCTTGACAACTGCAGACAGTGATGCTGGGTAGACATTTTGATTGAATTGGTACATCACTAAGCCAAAGCAATACATTGTTGCCAACATCTATACAAACCCTTGAGTGGGTGACCGAGTGAGCGATCGTGGCAGCCCGACTTTATCCCCCCGAGTTTGCCGCACACGAGCAAGCCATTTCTCGACTCCCACCGGGAATCACACCACTGTACTGCAGCTTCTCTAGATGGCAGCACTGGTATGGATCTCCTTAATATAACAGGGAGAAACTATGTTTTGTTTGGCATCGCTGGTGCTGTGAAAAAATATTCTTGTTCTTTTTTTCTGACCCTATTTTCACGGCACTGAACATTCCCAATTTCATTCTTTATTCTAAGCAATCCATTTCCCCCATATGATATGAAGGAAGAATCAGACTACAATTACAGGGAGGAATATTACTGGGATCCTTAGGAATTCAAGTCATCCAACCCTAGTCACCTTTAATATTTTCTATGTGGATGTTTTTCAGGGACAGTTCAGTCAGAAGGTAAAGTCTTGAGGGTGACAAGCACCAAATTAATCATCTGTCCTATAGATATCTTGCATTATAATTTAGTGTTCTTTTCTTTTCACACTGTATGACTTGACACCCCTGAAATTAATTCTCAAGGCAATCCTGTTTCATATGTTGATGTTTCATACACCATCTCCCCAAGACAGAGCAATGAGACCAGCTAATCTCAATGCAGCAAGATTGTCTACTCCTCCAGTCATAACCAAGCGACTGAGAGGCAGAGAAAAAACTGTGGCACTGCTTGGTCCTAAACTGGAATGCTGCAATATGGACTAACTCTCTGTCACCAGTTACTTGATACAGGACATTACTATTTTGAAGAGAAAAAAGCTATATTAAATTGTCACTGCCCCTCGAATTTTAGCTTAGTTTTATGGCAAATCTGACTGACTAATCACCTAGCTGATTCCTTAAATTTATGTTGCCAACAGGACAAAACATATATCCACAAAAAAACAGCCAACAAAAAATTGTGTATAAAAAGTGTCAAGTTACTCATGACAGAGACCATGAAAATTTCTGTCTTCTGGAATGTCATGCCATATAGTCTAGTAGAGTGCTAACAAAGTTTCAGAGGATCTTTCTGCCTCCATCATCAGAGTATAAGAGTACAAGGTGTGGCAATAAAGAAACCGGATTACTTTTATGACTCATTTCCGGCCACGTCATTGACGAAGAGGAGGGTAGGGCATTGACCCGTGGACTTCCCTCTATCGTCACACAAAGTTTCATTCACGCGCATCGGTTAGTCTGGCCGCGACCATTCTCAGAAGCGGATCATGTGTCTGAGCTCCATCGGAATAATGCTGAGTGCTAATGTAGAACAACGTGCTAACATCAAATTCCTCACAAAACTTGGAAAATCTGCCACTGAAACTTACAATTTGTTGACAGAAGTATATGGTGATCAGTGTCTATCTCGCACGCTTCGAGTGGTTTAAGAAGTTTATGGAGGGTAGGAGAAACGTCGGGAACGATCCAAAATCGGGCCGTCCTCCCACTGCGAAAACTCCAGAGAATGTGGAGAAGGTCGCTAGAATTGTTCGAAGAGATCGTCGACTGAGCATTCGAGCAATTTCTGAACTTACGAACATCAATAAGGAAAGTGTTAGACAGATTTTGCACGACGATCTGGGCATGAAAAAGGTGTGTGCTAAAGTGGTGCCAAAAATCCTTACCCCCCAGCAAAAGGAACATCGAGTGAATTGCTGTGTTGACACTCTTGAAAACATTGAAAATGATCCTGATTTCTTCCAAAACGTAATTACGTGTGACGAAACTTGGATTCTTCAATATGATCCAGAGACTAAGCGACAATCCATGCATTGGAAGAGCCCCAAATCCCCTAGGAAGAAGAAAGCGCGCATGAGCAAGTCCAAATTCAAAGCAATGATGATTGTTTTTTTCGATATCCGGGGGGTAATCTACATTGATTGGGTGCCTGAAGGTCAGACTGTCAATCAGGTTTATTATAAAAATGTTTTGACGTACCTCCGTGAACGTGTGCGACGAAGGAGACCAGACATGTGGAAGAATGCCTCATGGGTTCTTCATCACGACAACGCGCCAGCACACAACGCGCTATCTGTGAAGAGCTATTTGGCAAAAAACAACATTCCAGTGATGGAACATCCACCGTATTCTCCGGACCTAGCACCGTGCGACTTTTTTCTCTTCCCGATAATCAAGTCTGCGCTCAAAGGGACCAGGTTTGAGTCCGTGGATGCAGTGAAAGCAAAAGCGACGCAACTCTTGAAGAGCATAACACAAGATGACCTGCAGCACTGCTTCCAACAGTGGAAAATTCGCATGGAGCGGTGTAGGGATCGGGGAGGGGACTACATTGAAGGGGATAACATTTCGACTGTCTGATTTTTTTTCAATAAAGGGTTAGAGCATGAATCCGGTTTCTTTATTGCCGCACCTTGTATGTCAATCATGGAATGAAGTGGTATAGGTATAGGGAGAGGGAGGATGTTACCAGGGCTCTGAGAGAACCAATATGAATAAAGGCAAGGATATATAAACTACTAGCCCTTAAAAGGGCTATTCTTCAAGGAGAGAGTTGATGGGAGAAATAACTGATATCGTAGAAAACCAACATGCGGGTCAAAGATGTCAGGAGAAACAGAGTAAGGAAACTTTGGCTTGGAAGGGGAGGAAATATTCTTTACATTGTTCTCACTCCCGCTGGTATGCCCAGGAACCCAGCCCCATTCACCCTCTCTATGTATCCATATCAATTATTTCTATACTCAAGATTACTCTTCTGCCCCAAAGATGGAGACAGCAGGATCCTCCAAAATGCTGATAATGATCTACCACACAACACAGTGTCGCATCCCAGGAGACAGTAATTTCAGAAAATAGTGTGTAGTTCGTATCACAAAAAATATCACTTTCAAGTTTATTTCCATTTAAATGTGTCTGTACATCTCATCCCGTAGGTATCGCCAACAGTTGCACAAAATGCAATATTGAAATGTACAGAAACATGCCTAAGGAAATGGCTTCCATATTTTAAACTGGCCACTTTTTCATGGACATGTGGAATGAGGCAAAAGCAAACACAATAAACACATTCACTGTATTTTACAATGCACACTGAATTCTCATTAGGTTCATCTTGTTTTCACTCTCATGCTTACTTCTTCAAGAAAAAGTATACAATAAATTCCCAGTTGCATGCAAATGATCTTACTTTTCTCATTAATGATATTCAACACAAACAAATCTATTCCCTTCTGTTGAGTCTGTAAATTGTTGGACTGAGTAATTTTTATGAAATGGTGGTTCCTTTATGAAATTCGTTATATGAGATGTCTGCTTCTTCATGATTTGGTGTGAGGGGAATTTTTTTACAGTATTTTCAATATCTAGATTATGTAGCATCAAATATGAGGATAATTGCTAAAGAATTTAGAAGTGGTTGTGGCTAACTGAGATACTATGCAGCATTCACCTGGATGAACTGAGGAAAACCACAGAAAAACTTCAGTCGTGATAAACTGAATTTTTTTATATCACAGTGTATAATATAGACACTTGCCGCCGCTTCTGCTGGTTTCTTGCTTGGCCCATTCTTTCACCCTGCAGATGGTGGCAACATGTTCCTCTAAAATGTCACATTAATCAGTGTCCCAGTCAAAATTTTAACCATGCACCTCCTGAACACAAGTCTACAGATATTGCTGCTATACCAACTTGCTTGGTGCTTCTTTGTGATTATTTGAAGATTCTAAAATAAATTAACAACATTCATACCCTTTTCTTACCTGAACATAGCAGGAAGTGATTTAGCATCTCCAACTATTCAGGTTGGCTTCATATACAACTGGTGAACAACTGAATTCCCAGTTTAGAATGTTTAATCCATTCACTGTGAGTATTTTCCACCGCAAGAAAAATATTACTAAAAAACTAAACTCCGTGGCTTGAGTCTGCAAGCAAACTATACCGACTGAGTGACTGCCACTTGTTGGCAAAGTGAGTGCCAAATTTAGTGAATAGTGGCTGTCATGTGGTCAGTGCAACGAATCCCCATGGCCATTAATTTCAGCTTTCTAGACCAGAACCGCCATTTCCTTGAAATAGCTCCTCAATTATCCCCACGAGGCTGAGTTGACCGCGTTCCAGACCCACTACTTCTCAGACAATCTGGTAGCGCCAGGAATCGAACCTGGGACCTCTGGCTCTGTAGCAAAGAACTCTGACCACTAGACCACAGAGGCAGTCCTAGAGAAACATTACACTGAAGGAAAATCTTGAAGACTCCAAGATCTGCCTGAGAGGTAACAAGTAGAAACTCTATGACATTTCACCTCTGGAGCTAGTACTGTGCATATGAGTGTAAAGAGTTACATTTTGCATACAACTTCAATCATACCTCAGAACAAATGCCTAAATAAAGCTTGGGTATTACTGCTGCTAATGTTATGTAAGAAGCTGGCCTATGATGAACAAATGGAAGACTATGGCACAGATGACAGGATGATGCGACAATGGATTACAGAGGTGACTGAAATGTGAACAGAACTAAAATGTCTTAGAATACAGTTCGTGGCAATAGTTTATTTCAAATAAGATGAATGTTTACATCTAATAACAATCTTTTTATTTGTTATTTAAAGGTGCTGTCAGTATTGAGAACATATATTTAGTTAATGACATGATGATTAATGGGCATGGAGCAGTTGGTGGAATGAAGGAATTTCTTGAATAACAAGAAGTAATTTTCTCAGAGGATGACCTTGTAAATGGAAGTGGTGTAGTTAGAATCTCTGGCACCTCTGCAAACTGACTGTGATCTACAAGCTGCTAGCTGGTTTCATGTTTGCAACAGTCCAAAACAATCCTCCACTGTCAGAAAGAGACTTCCAAACAGATTACAGCCTTGTTTCAGTTAAACAGCATGCCACACCACCTCTCAATGTTTTGCAAGTCTTGATACCTTCTTTACCAGTATAGTATTTAGGGTAGAAAACCGGGGTGGCTCAGTCACTAAAGAAGCTCAGTTATGGGCTGGACCAGCCAGGAATCAGGTTCAGATTATTAGTAGTGAAAAAGGATTTTCTCCTCTCCACAACATCCAGACTGGTTCTTAAGCCCATATGTAGGCTCTTATTCAATCAGTATCAGAGGTTCTTTTCCCTTAGTACGGGTGTGAAGCTCTGACCAGTCACCACTATCTGGTGCTAAAGTTCAGAACACATGGAGTCATACCTCCACTTTGCCACATATTGTTATGGCGCAGTGCTTAAATAAACATAGGGATAACTTTATCCTTCCTTTTCCAGAATAAATATTATTTACAGCGTTTTTAATATGCTCATGACAGTGAAAACAAGAGGCAGACTATAACATGTAGGTCAGACACATAGAGGCAGGAGATATAAATTTCTTTCGTTATGGAATGCATCATGTTGTGCGATCAAACTAATCAATTATCATGTTCCATCTAACGCAACACAGAGAATGTATAACATTCAATTTGTTTTATTGAAATCACAACATGTTTCAACCATTTTATCTGGTCATCATCAGGCGAATATAAATGCTTAACAAATGCTCTACTGAATTGCAAAACGCTTTACCTCTCATATGGGCCAATATTTACAGTGATTTCTGTTTGATGACAGTATTGACATAAGTAAAATCTACATATAAAATGAAGTTGGTGTGTGGATTAAGTAAAATTGAGCAACCGTGGAGTGAACTAGGGTTGCAAACTGCATTGCTCCAGATTCTTAAGTGTCACAAGTTATCTCCTTCACCACCAAACACCCAGCAACAAGCAGAATAAGGGTGTTATACATTCTCTGTGTTGCGTTAGATGGAAGATGATAATTTATTAGATGTAAAATTCACTAAATATATGAAATGAGCTTATACCACTAGATGCAAATCAGTGAAAATTCAAGTTGTAACAATGTACAAATGTGAAATTATACAAAGTTCCTGAACAAATTTCTAACTTTCATGGAGCTGAGCCCTTCTTGAGGAGCTGCCAATTCTGCAGCTACTCAAGAATTTCCCAGCATTTTATGGAACCTGATGATTCATTAGCATGTTCATATGAGCCCTTCTCTGGTCCCTATTCTGAGCCAGATCAATCCAATCCATACCATCCCATCCTATCTCTCTAAGATCCATTTTAATATAGTTCACCCACCTATGCCTTGGTTTTCCCAGTGGTCTCTTTTCTTCTGGCTTTCCCACTAATATCCTATATGCATTCCTTGTCTCCCCCATTCGTGCTACATGCCGTGACCACCACATCCACCTTGACTTGGTCATTCTAATTATACTTGAAGAAGAGTACAAGTTATGATGCTCCTCATTATGAAGTTTCCTCCAACCCCCTGTCACTTCATCTCTCTTTGGTCCAAATATTCTCCTCAACACCATGTTCTCAAACACCCTCAGTCTATGTTCCTCCCTTAATGTCAGAGACCAAGGTTCACACCCATACAGAATAACAACAACAAATTTCTAACCGAAACAATAATTCATACGTGAGAATTGTGGTTCACATGGCAAAAAATATGAAGATTACTTTCTCCTTGGATGTGATGCCATGTAGTTTAGTACATAGTTAGTCAAATGTCAGAGGAACATACTGCCTCCAACTTCAGGATGGGGAAATTGGAAGAGATATAGTTAGAGGGAGTATCAAGACTAATGCCCCAAGTAATCCAACAGAACGAAAGAGAACAGTGAAAGAATATTGGGCCCATAAAAGATCTGTGTTCCTTTTGGTCCTCATTATGGCTAGAACATACTCGTATTATTACAAACTTATACTGAAACTGCTTGAAATTACTTTTACTGATTTCCCTGAAGTACTCAAGATAGAACAATATATTTTTTAAAAAACAGTTTTAAATTTTATTAATATTTGGTACGTTTCCTTCTTCCTTCCAATTTTGATTCCCATTTTTAAAAATTGAATGGAGAGCAGATACCTGGAACCCATGCATGTAGGTAGCACATTCCTTCAAAAGTTCAGTAGATCTACTGTACTGCACCACATTCAAAAAGACAGGCATAATCTTCAGTAAATAATACACTTCTAAGAAAAAAACAGAAAATTTCATCCATTGATATAAGTGAGAAGCATCAGATAACAATTTGTTTCACATCATGGTTTGATTCTGATTCAGTCACTCACTGTTCTTCTAATTTATATCATATATCTTAGCAAATGAAAGGAAGAGCAAACCATGAAGCATTCCATCTTCACAGAGTTACCAGGTTTGAAGAATTTTATCTTCTCGGATATAATGACGTGTAGTTCACCAAAAGTCAACCAACGTTTTGATGAAACCTGTCACCTCCACCTTCAGGGTCAAACAGTAATCCAAGCATCAGGTGACTTTCAAAAGACTACACGGTGTTACATCCCAGAAGACACAAATCTTCATAACCACTGATGAGAACTTCAAATCCGATTTAGTGAGGTTTCATTATCTTATCATACATCATTACATTGTGCTTTCAAATGTTTCTTTATTCTAATGACAATGGCCACAAAAAAATAAGAATTTTTATCTCCACCTCCAAAATATAGTAAAGAGAATGCACATACACACAGTTATGCCGGGCCCAATAAAGCAGGCTGCCTCAGTGCAAGGGACAAAGGCTGATTTTCACATGGAACTTACCTTTATACTGTGGAACAAACATCTGGATATCCTGTGGAATGTTCTGGTAGAAATCAAGTTCTCGAGAGTTGAGGGGTTTACAGATGGTCCTATCATTCAGCATTAGCAGTCGTGTGTGTCCGCCAACCTAAACAAAACAATACCAAATACACCACTGTAACTGTGCCCTTAATCTTTCCTTACTTCATGGCCCACATGTTTTGATCTGAAATTTCCACATTTGAGACAAAGGAGGATACATAAGAATATAAAATGTACATGTCTCAACCTAGTGCATCATCTTCACACTTTTTTATATGTTCCTGTACTACTAAACTACTAGCAAGGTAAAGCTTCCCTGTAACAGGCCATGGAGGCCCATAGGGTTGTGAGACTGCTCACAGATGGCAGTGAGGTTGTCAGCCTTATGCACTGGCCACCCTTTATCCCCAGGGATTCCTGGTTCTAATTCCTGTTAGGGGCTAAGTCGACCTCTTGGCAACAGTGCGGTTCAAAGGATTAGATCAACTGAAAAAATCCAATGACCTCACTGGGAATCGAACCTGTGACCTTTCAACTTGTATCACAAGGCCTCAACCAACTACACTACCACACACCTCAAATTACTAGTCTCCCCCCCCCTCTCTCTCTCACACACACACACACACACACACACACTTCCCCTCCCCCCTCTCTCTGTACACATCCCTGTTAAACATACATAAAATTTTATGTGCAACACTGACAGTGTGGCTACAGTATGTTACAATAAATTTGTGCAAATACCACAACATAGCAGGTAGTACCATAATTAAAATTACTGATGAGTAATTCTGTATTTCAGCATCCTGTTGCAAATCTTTAATCAAATATCTTTGGTGTGTGTAACAGTTGGATGCATTATAACACCTGAAGATGGCATCTATGGCTGAAACATGTTGTGTTGAGTGATAAATGGTGAATAAAACAGTTGTTGCATTATACACGGACTGTGAATACATAGACATTTGGTTACTGATGAGTAATTATCTATCTTTAACATTTGTGGTGAATTTATTTTGGTCCAAAATGCTTTGTATTCTCTCTGGAATACTTCAATGACCTACTCTTTATGGAGGCACACCTGGCTTGTTAGCAACCAAGGTGTAGATGATAAAAACAATTTCTGAAATTTCCTCATTTATTACTAGTGTGCACCTTATAATACAATATATGAATTTGGAAATGTTTATTAGTTCAAGCAAAAAAAAAAATGCTTCTATTAAATTATAAAAAAAAATGAAAATATACCAATTTAAAAACTGTCCCATTAAATAACGCTATTATTGGTATCATAATATTGGTGATCCTTAGCATCTCCCTTGTTGCTTGCAGTTGTCAGTTCCTTGCAAATACCTGGTCACAAGTCAAACCCTGGTTAACATTCAAAACTCGGCACTTAATCAAACATTTAAAGTATCACACTGAATTTAAACTAAATTACACAGGTTTCTCTTTTCCAGTTCCTTCCTTTATTTTCTCAGCACAACTATTCAAAATAATGCAATAGCAGAAAACTGTCAAAAAAAAATTCTGACCTGTCACATTTCATGTACATATAGAAAATTCTCAATTCCACACATTCTTCCATTACAGTTTCAGGATCAATCCCTATGAATGAAGTTCAATGGATGTCAAGTCAAAAATCTACAGGACAGGACCTCTCAGCCAAATCTTCCTGTTTGGGGGGCATTTCTTTCCCTCTCTATGAAAACACACCTTAATAGAAAGAAAAGCTGTCAGGATTAGTCTCATGGGATGTGATGCTGTACAGTCTGGTAGGCAGGTACAAAACTATATGACATTACAACCCAGAAGACTGCATGTCCAACAAAGAACTCTCGAGTTTTAGTTATACATATTTATTTGCTGCTTAGTCACAGAGTTGGTATGTTTTGAAAATCTTGAGCGAAATCAGCTCAAGTTTCGGTGACATGAATTCTAGAGAGCTGGCAATACCGCACAATGTTCTGGAAACTAGATCTGTTTCCATCCTCAGGTGAGGGGGGGTGGAGACATCTTTTGTTTCCTTTACAAAGAGCTAACCTCAGTCACTGGACAGCCCATGTCAGATTAACTACAGCTATTTAAGTACCTGAGACCAGGTTATGTCGAAGGGAAATAACAGAAAAGTCTACAACAAAAATTATAAAAAGCATACACAGTCATGGAACTAAGCTAGAAAGTGAGGTAAAAATTTATGCTACAAACCTAGCCAACAAATCAAGTTCAAAAACACCCCTCACCTCAGGATTGATTGATTCTAGGCTTCCAGGTTGCTGATGGGAGAAAGGGCACTGAATTTAACATCTCTTCACTCTCTTTTTTGAAGATACATAAAAAGCATGGTCTGTGGCGCCACTGGACCAACTACCCAACACTGAAGCACTAAAATATAGAACTATGGTACATACTGAAACCTTAACACCAGACATGCTCGAATGTGTCTGTCATCCTAATATCTTCCATATTACAAGAGGTGAACTTGTGAAACTTTACTGATGTAAATTTGAAGTGTGTGTCATCAGCTTCATTGAATTATGTATCATGATTAGAAAATTAAACGCTCTGGAACACCAACATATTTCATGAACATTCAGCACTTTATAGGGTTGAGAAAAGTGCCATTAAAAGAGCTCACCTGATTGCCTAGTGGTATCAAAGAAATTTCATTTTCATCATAATTTTCTGAGTGTTGGCGCAAAAACTGATGATGTGCTGAACTGCCATAATGATTGGAGTGATGCTGAAGTTCAGAATCTCCCATGCCCCAGCCTCCCAAGAGGAACACCATCCCCACGTCTCTGTGATAAACTCTTGCGCTGAAGATACCTCAACACTTGCAAATACTCGGGCCGTGCAATTCACCACCTGTAAGCAAATTTGCAATGCGGATAGAAACATTCATTCCAGGAACAAAAATGGTTTCTAAGATATTATAACATTAACAAAGCATACCACATACACTGCAAATGATTCCTTGATGTCATATTTCATATAATTAAGTCCATGGAGCTAAGTCCTCTTTTGGAAGTCATGAATTATTTGGCACCTCAAAAAATTCCCACCTTTTAAAGAAACCAAAGATTCTCTGTCATGAAATAATGTATCTGAGCATCATGTTGTGCTCATTAACAAACATGAAAAGTTCCAGCAATGACAATTATTGTAAACAATTGTGTTAATTTCATTATGCAACATGTTTTGATCTGTTGGCCACTAACATGCTCTGACACGCCACTCTCATGTCACTAGCAGTTGTCACAATGTTAAATACCAGTCAACAGTCCACAGTCCACATTATTAGTGAATTGTTCAAAACGAAAACTTGAAACATTTTTGGACATCCCAGCTTTTATACATTTCACAAAATCACCTTTGCCATTATAGTCTACACAATCTACCCAACAACTGTATCGTACATAAAGACTCTTGTATATAAGCACTGGCCAATGTAGCTAATGACAGTGAAGTAACAATATATATAATACAGCCCAGTGACTGGTCAGTAGGCCAAAACATGTTGCATAATAAAGAAGCTATATATTGTCACGCGTATGGGCAACTATAGATGAGTTATGGATGGTTAACTGAATTTACTGACCACATACAGATACATGACTGAAAGTAATTATAATCGTTTCGCTAATTTATGCACTTTACAGTTCACCAGAGCACACACTAAGTCTTATCAGTCTGCCGTCTTCACCAATCATTGCCCGGTAACGGCTTCCAATAGCGGACGTTCCACTTACTCTGGGTTCCCAAACTATTCCTGCGCCTCAGCTATCAGCTTCAACTAGTTACCGCTCACAAGGACTGAAATGCAATTCTTTGATTGTTCACTAACTCACCAACCAACTCTCCACTTCCCTGCACTGCACTCAGCTGAACTGAACTAACTCCCAGGCTGGTGACCAACTCACACCAACCTCCTACTTTTCTGACTGACCCAAACTCAACTAACTAAACTCTGGGACTGTCCTGTCTATAACACCTTGGCATGGATAGCATGCTCCTCATTGTTGTAGTTCAATTGTTGCTTGTTAGGAATCTGTTGCCTGCCAGGAGCCATTGCCTACATTTGAATGTACACAGCAGCTGTGTTAGAAACTTCTCACGTTTTACAGGTCTTTGTCATGTTCAAAAGAGGCTGTCACTAGTCCTTATATTAAAGTGGACAAGTCCAGTTCACACCCTCTCACCTCACTCATTTTATAACCCACAAACATATGAGGTGGAGTGACAGTAACGCTTCTTAATTTATGGTCCTGAAATGATCTACAGTAAGAGATCCTTGAAAGGGTGCAAGTTTTGTTGAGGTAAAGGGTTTTTGTAAAATGATTAAAATTTGATAGCAGTGCAAAAATGTTCATTTAACTTTGATCTGACAGGGAATTAGTGCAGTCCAGTCAGTAGCGCATTTAGGCTATGGGATATAAAACCAAGGAACTGGGTTTTGATTTCCAGCAACTACAAAGGCTTTTCTCTTCTCCACGGTATGCAGAAGAGTTCTGGGGCTTATCAGACTTATACAGAATGGGAACCGAGGACTGTTCCCACAGAAGTACAGTGGTTGGGGTGTGAAGCTAACTACTTACCTCCATCTAATGCCAAGATTAAGGATGGTGGAGCTATACCTCCACCCCCTCTTACATCTTCATGGGGTGGCACTTCCTTAATAAATTAATTAATTAATTAAGCACGGAGGTAATTTTACGATTACACTTCTGATTGACAGCCTTAACCAAAAGACCCCTTGAACTTGGGTAACAAAAAATGTATGAAAGTTGATTATAAACATTTATACAAATTATGTATGAAATAAGCTTGTAAATCAACAATTTGTCTGGACCAAGAGCCCCAGGAAACCAAGCGGCCCCCTGGTTTGACAATGAATATTAAATCCTATTAACTGGAAGCCTAAACATGTTTTTCAACAATGAAAGTAAAACTGTCTTACAAATTAGAACACTTATGACAATTTTCACTGCAGTGTCTGGAAATTTTGTATTACTTGGCTAAAGTTTGGATAAACTTAATCTATTTTTAAATAAGGGGGCGAAGCTTGTGCTAGACTTGGTCAACAAGAACAACATATTTGCACTGCAAGCAATAAAATTTTAAACCAAGTATACTTCGCACGGATCCAACATGCTAACCCATGGGCTAACTTGAAATTTGTTGCTGTCATAAACATCTTTTGATGTGAGTCATCATTTGATAATGACATAGCACATTACTTCATCATTATAAAGTTGCTATATTATATTTTCAGCATATGGTAGGAACCAAAATCTTCATACCGATGTCGTTGAAAACAGAGGACATTTCCTCTGTGGTGTTCCTCTGTAAGAGCATGCCTCACACTCAAAGATTTTTAGACAAACAATTCCTACCCATAACAGTACATAACAACATACAATTTGTGGAACTTGAAATATGTGAAACAGGAAAATACATTTTGTGAGTTCTCCCTGGAACTCCTGATATTTCCCTCCCATTCTTGGATGCGGTTTTTATTTAAAAATTAAAGAGGTGTAGATTTGTAGTGAGAAAGTGTATTGCAGGTAATGTATACTCTTACCTTCAGACAGAACCTAGACATACGACACGCAGTCCACTGCAAATTTCTTCGCAGATCAGTTTCAGTTTGCCAAGTTCGGTAGTCTCTCTTATGGTTCTGCACTGAAATCACACAAACGCGAAACAGCATATTTAATAATCGCGATTCATGCTTCCACACATTCTACTGAACCAGCAGGATACCTTTCGCAGCATAATATAATATTCGTATAAAATATCTCGATTCTATTTCTCGTCAAACAGGACTTGAAGAAAAGACCGGTCGAAATTAACAGAAAGTTAAAAGCAGGGTGTAAATGATGCAGCCCCAAAGCCAGCCCAGACAGCCGCTTGATTCGCCTGTGGTGCCTCACCGGCCCTTGGTACAAATCAGGAGCTTGGGACACTCATTATGAACTTGGTTTGGCAGGACCTCTTGCACCTGTTCTGTAACTCGCAGAGAAATGGAAAGACCTGTGGCCTGACGTCGGAGTGCCGACGGGCGATCGTCTGGCTACAGCTGGTCCTTCGTGCCAACCGTGGGCCTGTTTCACGCTATCCCATTTCCTTCACGGGCTGTGAAACTGTTTGGACACAGTTGTTAACGAGACTCGTAAATGGACGACTGTAAAGCCTCTGACAAAACATATAGTCGCCTGGGTTACTATGCACATAAACACCGATTTTCGAGAAACTGGGTTTGAGGTTAAGGAGTGAACTACAAGGTACTATTTAAATATGATTTAGAACGAGACACATTCTGAAATCTCAAGCTTGCAAGTAAGATAAACCTGTGGGAGTGTGAGCAACACAACGCAGATAATTACAGGAGTGCAAAATCGGAGATGGAACACCATAGTACTCATGCGGTAATCTGTTCTTGCTTCAGAAATGTAAAGCGGACTGCGACATAAAGAAACAAATGAAAACCAGGAAGAAAGGTGAATGGTATCCTTCCTATCTCCATGGGGCTAATAGTTGCTCAAATAGTCAAGAAATTCCCAGCATTTTATGGCTCCTGAGGGTTCATTATCGTGTTCACAAGAGCCAGTCACTGGTCTCTATCCTGAAGCAGATTAATCCAGTCTACGCCCTCCCATTCTAGTCCTTTATTATCTATTTTAATATTATTCTCGCATTTATGCATGGGTCTTCCAAGTCTCTCTCCCCGGGCTTCCCTACTATGCACTTCCCATTTCTCCCATGCATACTGCATGCTCTGTCTATCTCACCCATGATTTAATTATCCTAATAATTTCTGGCGAAAAGTTATGAAGTTCCTCATTACGTAATTTTCTCCTGCTCCTTTCCCCTTAGGTTCAAATATTCCTCTCAGCATCCTGTTCTTAATCACCCTCTGCCTGTGTTCTTCCTTTAACGCAAAACTACAGTTTTGTATATTTTAACATATTTTGTGGATAGCAGACGGGAAGACTAAATATTCTGAACGAAGAATGGACATTAGTAAGATGAGAAAAGAAGCAAATAACAAAAGCAGAACGATGGGAGGGAAGAAGAAAGAAATTAAGACATGAACCAACAAGGAAGGAAACAACAGAACAGGGAACAGTGTTTCCTCCGTTAAGATTAGCCACGAAATACGCAACAACCGCAATTTCGTGAGTCTGTGAAGTGCGGAAAGTTTACAGCGCTATTCTGGGTTACGGATGAGTTCAGGGTTTGGGTTTACTTAAAATCATTTCATATAACGTTGGCAAGATCCCTAAACGATTAGAAAAACAAATAAAAACACTGGACAGCTGAAATTGTACTTATGACGAGAACTGCATGTTGCAGGCTATTAATTACATAATAAACGAGAAGCAATAAGGAATAATAATAAAATCAAATGTACACAAGACATCGAACTGACTGGCGCCGACACGTAAGAAAACGAACAGAAAACAAGAGAATACCGAAACAGTCTACAATGTACAAGTCTATGAAGAAAAGAAGTTTAGAAAGCACAAGGAAAAACATGGCATCAAATCATAACAGGCCACAACGGAGTAATACCTGGCAGTGATATTATGATTGTGACGTGACTTTAAACAAACACTTCAAAGAATGTAGAAACTGGAGGACAAAGAAGTCACTAGATACTATGCATAGCTTAGAGCAGTGTTTCTCAAACAGTGTGACGCACCCCATTGGTGGGACTTAATGGTCGGCTGGGTGATACCACTACCGTAAAGAGTATAAAAAGGTAAAGCTATCACTGTAGCAGGCCGTGAAGGTCCATAGGCTCCACATTTTCTAGGCAATCTGCTCACAGATGGCGGTAAGGCCTTGCGCGCCTTACACCCAGGAAAATTCCTGGTACTCTTTTCTGTTACATGCTGGGTCGACCCCAGGGTCATAATACGGCTGGAAGGATTAGGTCAACTGAAAAATCCAATGACCTCTTCGGGAATCGAACCCTCGACCTTCCGGCTTGTAGCATAGTGTCTCAACCAACTACAACTACCAAGGAGTGTCTCGATTTGAAGCGGGACTTGCTATTTCTGGAGTTTGTGAACGTTACAAATGGAAATAAATGGAATAATAATAATAATAATAATAATAATAATAATAATAATTGACTCACTATTATTCAAAACTGAAATGCATGGTGTGTTTATGTTCTTAATCACCTTGTGTGTAGAATTAACATACAAGCTTGTCTGTACTGTACCACTGCATACTAAATGTACGGTGCAACTGCATACACTAAATTACTTTGTAGCATCAGACATTTTGACCGGTCAAGGTCAAATTCTTCCCCTCCCTCAGATTCTACCTGCCGTTCAGGAGCGAGGTGATGGAAATGACCTTGACAGGTCAAATGAAACGTCACTATTAGTTTCACGGGCTTTTCACAAATCATTTTTCCCCCTGGAACTACAGCCCCAGTAGGCCTAGACCTACGTCCATGAACTTCTCCGTTCACTTCGGTTTTTCTAGATCTTACACATTCGGTAGGACTCCTTGGGCGGGTGATCAGCTCGTCGCAAGGCCTCTACTTGTACACAAACACAGAAAAACGCACACACACAAACTAAACATCCATGCCCTGAGTGGAATTCGAACTCACGATCCCGGTTGCCAAGAGAGCGAAGACAGCACATGCCTTAGACCGCTCGGCTACCGTGACCGGCTTCATCAAGCATCTACCTGGAGATTATGTTATCACAGTTCGTCGCTATTAAATTGTGGTGACCGGTCACAGTGACCGCGCGGTCTGAGGCATGAACCGTCTTCGTCCTCTTAAACACTGGAATCGTATGTTCGAATCCCACTTGAGGCATGGATGTCCTGTATGCGTTTATTTTGTGTTTATGCTGTTCTCTGCGTAGGTAGCGGCCTTGCGACGGGCTGATCACTAGTCCAAGGAGTCATACCGACTGTGTAAAAAGATCAAGAAAAGGGAAAAAAAACGGCCAAGGTCGAACAAAGGGCTGCAGATAGATAGAAATTAAGAGCGTGTTCCACATCCGTCCTTTTTCCTCTATTAAAGAGAAAATTTGGAAGGAAAAATGAAATTATATAAAGAAGGATGAGAGATGTCAGGGACATTGGGTCGCATATATGATATAATAAAACAAGAAATATTTTAATCAGAACCCAAGATGGATGGAACATAATATATTAGTACACTCTTCATTCCCTTATTATATGTACTAGCTGAACCCGGCCACGCGTTGCTGTGGCTCAGTCTAACGAAATATTTCAATTCAAACGCAGATCAATCGACACAGCTCAATCCCACAGCCAATTTCACTGAAAAATTAGGAGAACAGTTAAGAAAACGAAATGAAACACAATGAAAAATAAACTATACTCACGAAATGAACGCTATGGTAAACGACACAGCCCAATTCCAACGCCCAAATCCAATTTATATTTATATAGATGTAACGTGTTTGGGCACGTCACGCGAGTATTTATTGTTCATCGCTTTCACACTTTTACACTTTGCAAGGATTGCCACTTGCGGTATCAGAACTAATTCGGACGGGATACGGAAGACCCTATCGAAGAGTTAGTTTCATCTGTTGCTTAGGAAATGCTAGCACAGAACACCTTGTAGAAGTGTTTGGTTTCATCCGTTGTTACGCAACGGAACCTCTTATCCTCTCATCTCCGGGGAAACGCGTTTGTTGTTTCGGCAATTCCTATGCAACGGCCCACTGTTATTGCGTTTCCATGGAAGTATACTTTCCGGTTTCATCCGTTGTTACGCAACGGAACCTCTTATCCTATGCAATCGGTGAAGAACTTTCGGAGAACCTCGAAGGGTAACAAACCAACATTTACGTTTTTATTTATATAAATAGATAGAAGATAGACTGACATTTGTAATGATTTGAACATCATTTACATTTACATTTTACATTTTAACAACCAACCAACCTGTCACAGGTGTGACATATGTCACACATGATTTTAACATCATAAAGTCTTAAAATACATTTTTAGTGAGTGACATATTCTTGATGTCTTTTAAATTGTTGCATTATTTACGTGTACTTTGATAATAAGAATATGTCGCGTGTTACCTATGTAACGTTGTTGTGGTCACGTGTCTCCTATTCAGTGCGACAAATAACTTCCACGCACGTCTCGGACTCAGCGAATAAGTTATTGAACGCTCACTTTTACACCAGCGAGTACAATTATTATCACGTCCAGTATCACCGAAAACTCTTCGGAGCCGGACTATTATAACCTGTTTCGGACGCAATAGAGGGCACTTTCGCCCAGGGTTCGATTTCACGTGTTTTGTGCTCGTTGCCGCGGTTATTTCTAGGCAACGATCTGTTGGTATTCGATGGACGACGTATAACACGTTACAGTATATTAATATTAAGTACAATTAATCCTTTAACAACCAACCAACCTGTCACAGATGTGCCATGTACACAAAAACACATAAGGTACATAAAAACACGCGCGTGTTCGAATGCAACGTTGTGTCAAAATTTCGAAGCAATCGGTGAAGAACTTTCGGAGATCTTCGAGGGCTAACCAACCAACATTTATATAGAAGATTGTGAAATCTACACTTTTTATAATTTTACATTTTCATGCCTTTATGTCCTTTAAATAGTTAACTTCTAGTAATGAATTTTATTACAATATCACTATATAGATCTATGCTCACCTTATAAATATATATTTCCTTACAACAACAGACATCTGTTGCATATTACGACTATTAATTTTAATCGCTTGAGTTACAGATGACCTAAATTACGGGTCGAAACATGTAGCGCAATTCACGCTTA